CATAATAAAATTGGCGTTTCTTTGATTTATGATTTTTTAAGTTAAGGGTTGCCAATACTTTTTGTGGGTAAATTTTGCAAATTTTCCAACAAATTATTTAAAAACTGTATTTATCTAATTTTAATTAATAAATCATGATTATAATCGAAAACTACATTATATTTGCTAAATGGGTACAAATTTTCATGCCAATTGTATGATACATTCCATGGTGATAGCCAATTTTATTTAGCTGGCGTGGGGGTTGCCAATACTTTTTCCATTGACTGTATACAGGTAACCCCTGCGGGTAGTGGTTAACATTCAACATTCCCGCAAAATCGATCACATATTTTATATGTACGGCCCCCTCCAACATTTTGTGTTATATGTAGCGGATTATTTCTAAATGCCAAGTATTCTAATCCTTTCAGTCCCTAGCCTTCAAAAGGACTAGTTTCTGTCTACTTTCGAAAGGGCGCACTGAAGGACAACACGCCTCGCATCTTAAAACATTGTCAAAATCGATTCCAGAGTTTACATACATCGAGATTGTTTGTGTTAAGGTGAAACATTAAGTCTGAAAAAGTGTCCTTGAAAACTCGATACGGCGCGTAGGTAAAAATAGAAACTTCCACCCGAAAGCGCAACATAATTTCCGGCTTGCCTGAGATTGATTCCGTCACGATTTTTTAAAATTTGGAAAAAAAATTGATTAACATTTGCGTAATTCTTAACAGGAAGTTGTTACATGCTTAACCAACGTTTCAGACAGTTTTCAAAATTATGGAATTTCTTCCCATAAAGTAAACGCTGCGTGGTAATTTTTGATGACGTAATATATCGTTGGCCCCAAAGCTAGTTATTTTAGTCGCTGTCCTTCATACGCAAATATTGAAGGGACCAGTCCCATCATACCCTCGGAACAGTAGTCACTACCTGAGTTAGTTCACGGGTCTACTTAAAATATTATAGAAAAGGGTTAATCATTAACATTTAGATTACTTTCTGTCCTTGGGAAACGTTAGGTTAATTGGAATATTCTACTTTCAGAGTTGGATAAAATCTTACCAAGGTGCGCATAAAAATGGAAACTTCTATCGAAATGCGCAGCATAATCTCCAGTTTGCCCGAGGTACATCATATTTTATTGATTTCTTGACGATTTTTAAGAAACTGCAAATAATTATTTCCTACCGTGAAATAATTCCAAGCTTAAAATTGTGTGATTTTCAGATAATTTACAAAATTATGGAATTCCTGCCCTGTCCCGACTTAGAACCGGCCTCTCTCGTCAACTCTACGTGGGAAAAGGAAGCTCTGACACATCTCCTTGCACGAAATTCGATCGATGTCCTCCTCCACAACGTCACCGATCCTTTGGACCTCGTCCCCCTTAGGAACCTGTCCCCCAAACAGCTCAACATAACAACCTGTCTGCCCGAGGTGAATACTGAGATTTTATTGTCAAAAATAGAATCATTTACCGCCATAAATTTCGCCACGGTGACAAAATTACGCATCACTTTCGCCATCGATAACTCCTCACGCCACGTGGGGTCTCGTTTGGTTAGGACTTACGAATCCTTCCAAAACTTGAGATCTCTCGAATTTCAAGTAGTCTTAGCAAATGATAAAAAAATGTTTTCCTCCAATGAAAACTGGGCAGAATTGTTTCCCGATAGTCTCACAATACCCCAAAATCTGACCACATTGACCCTTAACCTTCCCAAACTCTACCCCTTCGCGGGTGATCCCCAGTTTGGCAGCATTTTCTCGCTCGCCACCCGAATTCTGGTTGTGTTCAGACACGTGGAAAATCTCACCGTAATCGACACTCCTAGCAGGCTGATTCAAGAAGATGGTCTCAATTTACCCCACCTCAAGTCACTTTCCTTCCTAAGAACGTCTCAAGTTGGACCGTATTTCTTCTCATATTTTAAATTTAATGCCCTCCTGCCGCCAAGTTTTGCTACGGTAACGCGGCTCGAGTTCAACCTTCCGATCTACGATCCGGAAAAGGAATGCGAAATTTTACACCTCCTCGCGCCACAGCTGGAACACGTGGTCATCTCCGGGGTGAAAAACATGTCTCCGGATGCAATCCTGGTGGGCCCGATCCAATCCCGATTCTGCCCAGGGTGAAAGTTTTCGAAATTTTACGCCAACAACGAGTCTCTGAGAGTAACGAGAAGGACTGGTTTCGACCGGTCATTGATTTAAAGTTTGAGTCTGCCAGGGACGGGGTAAAGTTAGACTATGAAAAACAATTTCCCGTTTTGGAGAGGTTAATTGTGCGCGTGGTCCCGGAATCTGTTCCAAGGAGATTTTTAATCCAGCCGGATCATTATCCAGGGGACGATTTGCATTTTGAAGCGACCATGCTTCTCCTCTGTGAAACCTTTTTGGCGGAGGGTGTCCAGCCGTGTACCACCTTAAGGAATTTGGATATTCAATTTCCTAGCAGCGAATGGGATGTGGCAAATATGCAAATGAAGTGGCGGTGTAATGGGGAAGATTTCTGCACCCCGTGGGGCTGGAAGGAAGAAGTGCCGGATTTTTATGGGAGAATTGCCACGGTTTTTCCCCACGTGGTCGCTGAGGGAATGAAAGCCGTGAGAATATTGAGACTAAAGAAGTTTAAGGAGATGGGGGAGACCTTGGGGGTTTTTGATGAGGAGGGACGAATTTCGAAGGAGTTTAGCGAGTTGTTTAAGTTTAAGAAGGAATAAATAAAAATTTGGATTACGTTTTGACGAGGGGTTTTGGAAATTTGAGGCTGATGGAAAATTAATTAATGGCTAAAACGATATTTGCATGTATGTATGTAAATATTTCGATGTTAATTTTTATGACATAAAATTATTTATTTCATAAAAAATAAATATAATGTCTATATAAGTTAAGTCGATAAGATAACCTCTGTATCTGTAAGTGTATGTACGCAGACTCTTAAAAATACGGTGTTTGTCAATTAAATATATCTGATTTTGTTAAGGCTTGGACATTTTTTTGGAGCTAATTTTTGTGGGTGCAACTTGCGCCACTTAAATGATGACGTAATATATGTACCGTCCCTTCTGAATCCGAAATATCCATGTATTTATAATAGACATGTTCCGGGTAGCAGCATTACCCGGTACCCGGTTACCCGGACCCTGTAACAAAATTCCTACCGGGTCCCGGGTACCCGGCCGGGTAATTAGTAATTTAAAATTCGCGAATCATATGCAAGCTAAGAACATGCTAAGTATATGAGTAATTGAACACTTACAATGGGAGTATGGTTCCAGGTACGCAGGGATTGTCTAGCGAGTTATACTATAACATCAAGCCAAGAACTACCAACTTGGTAGGAGTCATGTGACGCATATCTTTCCGTTTAAGGCACATTTGAAGACATATTGACAGCAAATTTCACCCGCTCGACTTGGTTTCCGCCACGTGGAGATAATATCGAGAGAAAATTAGCTCGAAAATTTAACTTTACCTCCAGTATTTTTATTCAACGGAAACATAAGCGTCACGCGATTCCTAAGCTTTGGCTTCACATAACTCATTAAACAATCCAGGTGTATCTTGAAAAAATATGCCATTGTTAGCGATAGCTTTTAAAGCTAGAAACCTAGCGAAGTTTTAATAAAATCATGTAGTATTCATGTATTGGAAAAATAGGACGGATGTTCCATATTCGGGTGGTCGAAAGATGTGACCAAAAACAGAAAGACAAACCAAATCACTTAAATTGAGCAGCATTCTGTGATAAAAGTTTATAGCAATAGAAGGGATCCCCCCAACCGGACTTCATCAACGACCCCTTTATTTAATCATTGACTCTTCTCCTTCACTATGCATAACTAGGGCTAAGCAATGTCCTAGTTATAGAAAATAAGTTGATACCGAAGGGAACGACCAATTTCCGTGACTTTAGAAATAGATGACCAAAAGGTGAATGACCTGGTCATGGCCTACGGTCGAGTTAAAAATTGGGAAACAGCTCGGGACTTGTACTTTTCTAAAATCAATGTCCTGATAATCCTACATAGACGTATTGCCCTTAACTTGGTCAGTTTAACATGAAGGAAAATGAATTTTAGCATTCAGTAAAAAGTAGCCGATGCCCATTTTCGTCAAGCAAATATAGACCTTCAAAACCCACACAAAAACTTCTTTTTGATCCCGTCAACGGGGATGGTATCTGGTTTCATGGTTAATGGTTATGATCATGAAAGTAAGCCGGAGACAATGGGATTCAATGAATGAAATTCGATTTCGCAATCGATAAAATTCAGACAACTCAAGGATTTCTGGTGATTTGATTTATAAGGAAAATTCTTCAAAGATTCGACATACGTACATATGTTTGTCCATAGAATGAAAGACAATAGATATTTTGAATTTGTTTGATTTTTATCAATTTTATGGTTGACACGACGAGGTGACATGAAACGAACATGAGATGAACATGCATGCACCCAATATTGAGACAAATGCATGCATGCATATCAGGACCATGCGATGAAAGAATACTTTTTTGACTAGTAAGATTAAAAATTTTATGTAGACGACAAGACGACTTGAACTCAGCGCACCAAGTGTGTTAACCCTGCAGGGGACTACACTGGAAAATAATAGGGCAAGTACCCCGAATTTATTGCTCCTTCATGGCGTTGCCACGTGAATATGGAACATTCGTAAATTGTAATGACGAACGTATCGCATATTAATCAGTGAAATTAATATATTCAGTTATTCTTTGCTAGGCACAAGTAAAGTAAAAAAATATGTTTCAACATTTATTTAGCAAAATAAATTTTTAAAGTACCCGGCCGGGTAAAACGGGTAGTAAAATTACCCGGTACTCGCCGGGTAGTTGGAAAAGTGCCGGGTAAGCCGGGTACCGGGTAGCTACCCGGTACCCGGAACATGCCTAATTTATAATCTAGATGTTTTCAATTGAATGCACATTTTTTTCTATTTAATTATCCAAGTTAATATTTATACGAGTATGTAACATCGTCAAAAGCTGTAATAGTTATATTTATTCGGCATAAATTATCTCATGCATAAAATTACGAACAATTTCAAAACACTCAAAATATACACACTCTTAAATATAATGTTATCATTTTGACAAGTATAAAGATGAATTTTACATATGTTAAGCAAGATTATGTTGAAGGTTAAAGTTGGATTTATTTATGTGATAGTTTGCTTAAATTTAAGGTTCTAAATAAATTCAGGATACTATTAAATGCAGGATGCTTAAATTTTACTCTTCAAAAGGGTAACATTATTTTCCCTTTTGCATAAAGAAATCAATTCATTTTTAACTCCATCATGGTGTTCAATTCGTCCTGAAAATTGTGCAGAAATCTTTGCAAATCAATGTCATCAGTAAACGCGGCCTTATCCGTGGTTAACTGGATGATAAGTTTCCCATTGTATGAAATAGTAGTGATAAACAACGAATTTCCCGCTGCCATAATTCCCGGGAGAAGGTCGAACGTTTCCATCACATGGCCAAACATTTTGAGCGGGTTGCTCAAATTAAGGTTCACATTGGAATGCGCATAAGTTCCACCGTTCGATATGCCGATATCAACTCCAAATGAGGCCAGAAGCAGGCAGAAGCACGTGGCCGATGCCATCAGACCGATCGGGAGGGCGGAGTGGAGCACGTGGTCGAACTGTTTCGAAATCCATGCAAGTCGGCGAAATCGATCCTCCAAATTGATGGGGGATTGGAGCGGGAAGCAAAATCTGGAAGTAAAATATGGCAAAGAGATATGTGCAAATATTTTGCATGCAGTCTTACATACATAAAAATGATGGAACCCTTTGAAATTGCAGTACTTTCTGCTGCTAACAAGGGAACCACTTCTACTGTCCCATCTCGATTTCCTTCGGAATAGCCTTAATCGATAGATAATTTAGTGAAACTAAAACTTTGTCATAGAACATGTGGTGCAAAATCACGTTTTCGCGAAATATTTGGCGAGAGCTGCACCAAAACCTGCCATTTTCCTAATGCTTTTAAGATAGCCTCCAGCCTCTCGAATGATGAAATGAACTTTATGGAATATTGAAAAAAATATGTACTCGTCCGCGTAATTTCAGCCAGAATTGCAAATATTGAAATTCGCAATTTTGCATGAAAATTAGTTAAAATAACCAATTCCAGTCTATTTTTACGCATTTTTCGAAATTATTTGCGATATTTATTTTTTGCAAACTGCAAAAAAATTGTAATTTATGTCGTAATTTTTTAGTTGTTCAAAAAATTAGCTGTTCCTTGATTCGTACATATGTAAATGATACTTTTCTAGTTTCTATAAAATGATAATGAAAAATTGAAAAATTGCGAACTTCAATCTTTGCAAATTATTGCAAATATTTTGCAATAAAAAATATATTTTACATTAGTTAAACTTGTATATTTTGTTGAATTTAAAGGAACGAAGAATTCAATTTGCGAAATTTTTCCGATTTTCGCAATTTGCAAAAAATTGGGAAATGCTTGCATCACTTTTTGCATATTCGTGATCGGGCTGAAGTTACGCGGACATGTACATACATAATTTTTCAATATTCCATAAAGTTCATTTCATCATTCGAAAGGCTGGTGGCTATGTTAAAAGCATAGGGAAAACGACAGGTTTTGGTGCGGCTCTCGCCAAATATTTCGCGAAAACGCGATTTTGCACCGCATGTTCTATGACAAAGTTTTAGTTTCACTAAATGATCTGTCGATTAAGGCTATTCCGAAGGAAATCGAGATTGGACAGTAGAAGTGGTTCCCTTGTAAGAATAGAAAGTTTTTTCAAACTATACTGAGACTGTTTAGTGAGTTATATCAAAAAATCAAGCCGAAAGTTAGCAATCACATGGCGCTTGTCAGACTTGTCACATGATGGCCTATTTGAAGAAAAATATTTGCTGCAAAGTTAAATTTTAGAGTTAATTTCTATCGCAATCTCCTACACGGGGCAAAAAACAAGGCGCGCGTGACTTTTTCGGCCAATATTTTTCTTCAAAGTGGCTGCTGGATGAAAATATGAGTGTCACGTGATTGTTAATTTTTGGCTTAATATTTTTTACACAATTTTGAAAATTCTGGTGCAACATGAAAAATGATTCCATTGTGAGTTCGAAGAATCTGAAGTTATGATTATAATTAAATAGGTCGCTATTTTAATTGAATTTAACTGAATATTTAACGTCTTACACGTTATTCGCCATGGTTCCGGGATGATTGAGTCTTGGCAGGATGTACGATGCTACCACGTCCCGCTCAAGATCCCCGCCCCTCGACACGATTAGTTCTCTCAATGCCCCCGCCAGTCCCGCCTGAATGACGGCCGTTACACTGAATCCAGTCTTTTTTGAAATATTTTTCAGCAAATTGATGTCGAACCGCGCCGTCGTGTTGGTCACTCCAACCCCAAATTTCTGCGGGTTCGAATCTGGCGGCGGGATTTTTTGTGAATTTAACCCTTTCATCATGTAGTAAACCGTTTCGCTCGGGGTAACGAAAATAAGTTGGAAAAAGTAGCAAATTTTCTGCCACGTGGTTAACTCGAACTTTTTCCTGATACTTTTTAAGACTTGGGCGACATTCGCGTCCATGGCGGGATCTGGGTCGCACAATTCGCGAATAATGGAGAGCATGGAGAGCCCGTCGCCGATCGAGTGATGGATGCGTATGATGATGGCGGACTTGGTGCCGTGCTCGGCGGGGGTGTAGTTCGGCAGGGAAATACATTCCCATAAGGGTTGGCCCGCCAGAAAACTTTTGGTTACTTGGGAATTTATAAATTCAGCAAGGATGGCGGGATCAGATTCTGTGTTGAGTTTGATGTGATTGTGAAGGTTGAAATTGTCACATTTCTTCCAAAAAGGGACGTTCATCCAGCGCGTTAGGCTGCAGGTGAATTTAGGATCCTAAGAAAAGGTAACGGATTTTTGGCAAAATTAAAAATTCGCTAATTAATATGAACATACATACTTTGTAAATTTTAAAAAGTTGTTATAAATTTGAAGACGTTAGGTGCCAAATTATAAATCTCCAAGAATGTGTGCCGGAAATATTTTGCGCATTTTGTGGCCTTTGTTAAATTGCGTTTGCCAGATAAATAAATATGTATGTGCGCACCTTTCCAGACGCCTTCTCAATCCTGGCCACAAGGTCGCTAAAAGAGTGCGTTCCCTTCAAATAAATGACGAACACAATTCCAGCAAGTGGCCGATTGTACACATCGTCCCAGGCCCACGCACAATCGTTGAGACTTAAGGGTCCGGACAATTCCTTGTTCCAAGAAGATAGCCAGATCACAATTTTTCTGTAGATTGCGAGTGGAAAAATTACGAAAATCAAGGAAACTGGGAGAATCGTGAAGGTTATAAAAATGGAGGAGACGATTGAGAAAATTTCCTTAAAATTTAACGACATTTTAAGAAGTCTTGGAGAGATGTACATTCAATGAGAAGTGACCGAGGAGAACTGGACGAAAGTAGGAAAAACAATTTTTTTACTGGATTTACTTCCATACGTGACGTTATTAATAAATGTTTTGAATGTATGAAAGGTTATCCGTTAACTGACCCCAGCTCAGTGTATCAAGTCAGGAAAAGAATCAATGTATGTCAATTGGGTCGAGTTACAGATTCAGATTACTTCAGATTTTGCACGTGTGAAAGAAATGTAAAGGAGAGACCCAATATATACATAAATATGTATGTAAATATGTATGCAAATACATATGTGTAGTTTTAATGAACTAAATACATACATATAAATAAATAGTTTTAAACCAGAATAATTTATTTCCAAAGTTTGTTAGTACATTGCTAACTAAAATCAGTAAAAATTTGTCGTTTAATTTGAATAGTACATAAATATCTAAATAAATTCCTGAGTGTCACATGCAAACTTGTAAGTGCTTATGAATGGTGCTGCAAATGTCTGTATGTATGTATACTCGTTAGCTATGATATATCTTATCTAGCTCATTCATTGCGAGTGCTTGAAAAATCTAATAAGGAGAGATTGTGACTGCTGAAATTCTTTCCAAGCAATAAAGAAAAAAATCTTTCTAAATATTTCTAAATTAGCTTTTAGGCTATACCTACAGATCTATGTACTTATAAACAAACTCTGAGTGACACGACAAATATGTAGCCGACATTTATGTAGCGATATGCATATTGGCTGACAAATATGACAACTAACCCGACAAATATGCATTTCAGTTTTTTTTGTCTGGATGTTTCTTAATGTTAAATGTAAAATGATGTATTTATGAAATTGTTTTATGTATTTTTGTAAATTGTTGAATATGCGTGTAAGATTGCCCCGTGACGTGGTGGTGGTTGCCATGGTGACGTCAGAGTGGGATTTTGAGTGCGCGTCGCTCTTTGTTAAGTCGTAGTAAGTAAGTAGGTAGAAGAATTCTACACAGTCGAGTTTTAGTCGTTGTCAAAGTCAGACATTTTGGATTTAGTCGTCGTGGTAGGCAGTCAAATTTATGAATTGTTAGTTCTTTTTTGTTGCCCACGATCAATTTATAATTAAAGTAAGTCATCAATCAACTCGTGTTGTTGCAGAGCTCTGAATTGTGTTGACCATCGTTTAATTGATTTAAATAAAATCTAGTTTAAGTAGATAAAATAATCGTATATTCACTTAGTCACTTTCTTTAATTCCAACGAGCAAGGCACAATTAAATATTCGTAAAGACACTATACTCCGGGTAGGTGATAGCTTGGTTTTTACACTTAACGAGCAGTTCGTACTGGGTATGCATGCACGTATTTAACATTGGGATGATCAGTTAATGTGAAGTCGAAGTTATTTTTAGTGTTCATATATAAATAGATACACAAAAACCCTTTTTTAAGCCTGTTCACACAATTTTGTTTAGTAATGGATAATCCCAACATGCCGAAAACTATTTACATATATAGTAATTTTAGTCGCTACCCTTCATATGAAGTATGAACAGAAATGGTAAAGGAACCAGTCCCATCATACCCTCGGAAGAGTCACTACCTGAGTTAATTCACGGGTCTACTTATATAAAATTCTATAGAAAAGGGTTAACAATTTAAATTTACATTAATTCCAGTCCTTAGGAAAGGTTAAATTAATTGGACAATTCTACTTTAAGCGTTGGATAAAATCTTACCAAAGTGCATATACTTCAAAATGGAAACTTCTACCGGAATGCGCAACTTAATTTCCAATTTGCCCGAGGTAAGTACATACATATCGTCGCACTAATTCTAAAAAGACGTAAGTGCATTCGATGCTTAATTTTAAAACCATGTAAGTGCACTCGATGTTTAATTTTAAAACCACGTAAGTGCAGTGGATGTTTAATTTTAAAAAGACGTAAGTGCACAAAAAAAAACTAGTAAAAAGACGTAAGTGCACTTTTAAAATTATAAAGAGTAATTACTTGTTCAAAATTGTCCTATCAAGGGAAATTTGAACTTATTGGCCCCCGCAGGCAAGTAATGAAAAACAATTCAAAATTTAAAAACCACACCCTCAGGGGGTGTGGTTCTCGGCACCTAGCGTAAGGTGAATTAAATGCTGACGTATTTATTTCTTCACCTCGGTGACGCAATTCCTAAAGATTATTAAAAATTTAAAAACCACACCCTTTGTGGGTGCGGTTCTCGGCGCCTAATTTGCAATAAATAAAACATGGCAAGCAATATATCCTTTTTCTCATCTCGATGATCCATATTCGACGATACATTCAAAATTTTAAAACCAAAACATTCAGGGGGTGTGGTTCTTCAAGCAAAAATTGCATTTTGACGTGGTTACACCCCCAAAGTTTCAAAGATTGCATTTCAACGTGGTTACACCCCGAATTTTCTAAAATTGAATTTTGACTTGGTTACACCCCCAACGTTTCCAAAATTGAATTTTGACTTGGCTACACCCCCAAAGTTCCAAAAATTGAATTTTGACTTGGTTACACCCCCAAATTTTACAAATTTTTTTTTTTTTTTCTGAAAAATAATGACGAGATTATTATTACATAAATTAAATTGGGATACATTAAACATTGTTTTGGCTGAATTTCAAATATTTCAAAGTATATTAATATTTACAAAATTGAATTTTAAGTTGGTTACACCCCCAAGTTTTACAAAATTGAATTTTAAGTTGGTTACACCCCCAAAGTTTCTAAAATTGAATTTTTACTTGGTTACACCCCCAATGTTTCCAAAATTGAATTTTGACTTGGTTACACCTCCAAAGTTTCCAAACTTGAAATTTGACTTGGGAAAACTTTGAGGGTGTAAACAAATCAAAATTTAGGTTTGTAAAATTTGGGGGAGTAACCAAGTCAAAATTTAATTTTTGAAACTTTGGGGGTGTAACCAAATCAAAATTCAATTTTTGAAACTTTGGGGGTGTAGCCAAGTCAAAATTCAATTTTGGAAACGTTGGGGGTGTAACCAAGTCAAAATTCAATTTTAGAAAATTCGGGGTGTAACCACGTTGAAATGCAATCTTTGAAACTTTGGGGGTGTAACCACGTCAAAATGCAATTTTTGCTTGAAGAACCACACCCCCTGAATGTTTTGGTTTTAAAATTTTGAATGTATCGTCGAATATGGATCATCGAGATGAGAAAAAGGATATATTGCTTGCCATGTTTTATTTATTGCAAATTAGGCGCCGAGAACCGCACCCACAAAGGGTGTGGTTTTTAAATTTTTAATAATCTTTAGGAATTGCGTCACCGAGGTGAAGAAATAAATACGTCAGCATTTAATTCACCTTACGCTAGGTGCCGAGAACCACACCCCCTGAGGGTGTGGTTTTTAAATTTTGAATTGTTTTTCATTACTTGCCTGCGGGGGCCAATAAGTTCAAATTTCCCTTGATAGGACAATTTTGAACAAGTAATTACTCTTTATAATTTTAAAAGTGCACTTACGTCTTTTTACTAGTTTTTTTTTGTGCACTTACGTCTTTTTAAAATTAAACATCCACTGCATTTACGTGGTTTTAAAATTAAACATCGAGTGCACTTACGTGGTTTTAAAATTAAGCATCGAATGCACTTACGTCTTTTTAGAATTAGTGCGACGATATGTACATATAATTCATTTCTTGACGATTTTTAAGAAACTGCTAATAATTATTTCCTACTGTGAAATATTTCCAAGCCTAAAATTTGTGATTTCCAGATAATTTACAAAATTATGGAATTCCTGCCCAGTCCAGATTTAGAATCGGTCTCCCTCGTCAACTCCACGTGGGAAAAGGAAGCTCTGAGACATCTCCTTGCACGAAATCCGGTCGATGTCCTCCTCCACAACGTGACCGATCCCCCGGACCTTATCCCCCTTAGGAACCTGTCCCCCACACAGCTCGACGTAATAGCTTATTTGCTCGAGGATGATGAGAATGGAGAGATTTTAATATCAAAAATAGAATCATTCACCGCCATCAATTTCACCACGGTGACAAAATTACGCATCACTTTCGCCGTCGACAACTACTTACGCCACGTGGCGTCTCATTTCGCTAGGACTTACGAGTCCTTCAAAAACTTGAGATCTCTTGAGTTTCAAATAGTCTTAGGAAATTATAAGGAATTATTTTCTTCCGATCAAAACTGGGCAGACTTGTTTCCCGATGGTCACGTGCCTCAAAAACTGACCAATTTGACCCTTAACCTTTCCGAACTCTATCCTTACATGCATGCTCCCCAACTGGCCGAAATTTTCTCCTTGACCACTCGAATTCTCGCGGTGTTCAGACAGGTCAAAAGTCTCACCCTAATCGACACTCCTGGCGGGCTGATTCAAGAAAATTGTCTCATTTTACCCCATCTCGCGTCAATCTCTTTAATAAGAACGTGCCGCGTGGAGGAAAATCTCGGCCGATATTTTCAATTTAAGGCGCCCCTCGCCCCCAATTTTTCTAATATAACACGGCTCGAATTTAACGTTCCAATCATAAATAGGACAAACGAATGCGACATCTTGAACCTCCTCGCGCCCCAACTGGAACACGTGGTCATTTCCGCAGTGGACAACATTCCCCCGAGTGAAAATCTGGTAAACTGGAGATTCACGACGATTCCGATTCTTCCCAGGTTGAAAATTTTCGAAATTTTGAGAAAACAAAGTATCCTTTATGAAGAAAAGCCGAACTGGTTTCGACCCGATTTGCGTTTAAAGTTTGAAACGGAGAGGGACGAGGTTAAGTTAGACTACGGAAAACAGTTTCCCGTCTTGGAGAGGTTAATTGTACACGTGGTGAGGGAACCTGTCCCATGGGGGAGGAGGAATTGTCCCGATGACAATTTGCATTTTGAGGCGACCATGCTCTTTCTATATGAAACTTTTTTGGCGGAGGGTGTCCAGCCGTGTGGCACCTTAAGGAATTTGGACATTCCATTTCCGAAGGAAGAATGGGATGTGGGAAGGATGCAAATGAAGTGGCGGTGTGAGGGGGAAGATTTCTGC